AAGAGCCACACGGAAGGAATGGGGGACAGGGAAAGGAGGAAGAAGGCCAGGCTGGGTGAGAGCTTCCAAAGGCAGCCGGGAAAGGAGATGGGCGTGCCTGGAAACGTCACCAATGCATGAATGACGTCACCAATGCATGAATGACGTCTGCGGTGCGGGAACGTGTGTCTGTGGCCATGCAGTCGCTCCTCCCCCACGGCCTCATACACAAGAAAATGAAACCTTCAACTCAGTACCTGTTTTACTCTTCAGTGCTTCTCGGAGTTAGATTTACGTTTGTTTGTTTGTTTTTCTGTGGATGAGGCTGGGCTGACAAGGATTTGGAATTAGAAGCATAAAAGCCTCAAGTAATTTGGATTGAATTATTGAAATTGGAAGGATAAGCCCAGTACATTTTTTCACGTATTTTTGATGGTAGAAGTCGTTGACATCAGCACTTATTAATCGTGGTCAGAGGCTTTAAAGACCTTCAGGTTGCCAGGTGCTTGTTATTTATATTAAGAAAGTGGCCTCATGGGCACCATCTTCTATGGTAGAGTTAAATCCTACTCAGGGGATTAAGTTGTTAAGTGAATACATAGAACAAAAGTTAAGTGTAGTCAAAATTTCCATTAAAAATACTGTAATTCATCCCTCGATTGCACACAAGTTCCGCAGGAGTTTCGCAGCAGCGAGCACAGCTCCCCGCAGGCATCCAAGCGGCAGGGCCACACACGCAGGCCAGGGAGTCTCCGCGTCCATGGCAACCATGTTCCAGTGAGGAGGCAGAGGATAGCTATACAGCGAGTAAATAAGGGTACATCAGGTAGTCTTATGTGTAGTGGGCACCACGTCGGGGAAAGGGAGCGGGAGAGAACACTGTGCACCCTGAAGACCACAGATGGCACACAGGGCACCTGCCAGCAGCGGGCACCTGAACCCTGAGCTGCGGCCGCGATGCTCAGGTGGGTGGTGTCTTCTGAAGAAGGTCTGTGTCCTGAAACAGACTGGCTCGGTATTAGGTTTATGAGAAATTATAATAAATGTCAGAGAACTGGAAGTCTAAAAGCATGCTAAATTTACACAACAGTGAACATATTCAACAGAAAAGCTCATGATGAAAGACTTTTCCTTAAATTCGAAGGGGAAACCCTGACAAGATTTAGAGTCCACTCTGTGGAGGAACTGTAATCTGTAGGGGGAAATCCAATCAGGCCAATGTTCGTTTAGAGAATTTCTACTGGCACCTCACTTACGGTAGATGTTCTTGAGTTAGTGCCTTCCCTGTTCCCTGCAGACCTCCGCAGAAGCATCTCTCATTACGTGACGCTCTGGTTCTTTATCCATCCGGGAAAATACTCCTCTAGCCTAGAAGTAGTTATGTATGCAGCAGGGAGAAGGGGATTGGAACTTTGTAGGCAATTCACAAATTTATGTACATAAAAGTACCTAGCCCTAAAAAGATCATTAAAATTATTTGCTTCCTTTATTTTTATCAAGTCCTTTGGGACTTCCTCATAGGTCAGAAAACATCTAGTATTAGGTATAAATCTATGTTTACACAACCATTAGTATTTTTTAATTGAGATATAATCAACATATAACATGTTAGCTTCTGATGTACGACATAGTGATTCAATAAACCACTGGTATCTAAATAAATGTAATAATTGTACTATTAGATGTTCTTCAGATTTCTGGCAACCTCCTAAAATCTACTTTTCTAAATGGTCAGTAAACAACCAGTTCAACATCAGGTTAGCTGGTTCTCTTCTGACATCTAGTGTTCCTGATTCATTACTGCAAAATAACTTCATTTTAACACACTACTAGAATGAAAATGTTACATAGAATAAAAATTTAATTCATTTTAGGAAGTATTTGGAATAAAATTACAAGCTAAATAACAACAAAGCTTCTGTTTCTAAGGTGCAAACCACCTTTTGTTCTTAATTCTTCCCATAAGGGCAAACTGGCATGTTTTCTTGTTCTTTTGATAGGTAACAGTGTGTATGTTGGGCTATTCCATTACTGCAGAGGAGGGAGGGGACAGGAGGGGAGGGGCACTTACTAAGGGCCTACTGTGCACCAGGTTCTGGGCCTGAATACTTCAGCGTGACTTATCACTGTGCTTTTAGGAGCTGCGCGACCATCCTAACCCCATCCCAACCATGGAAACGCAGTCTGACAAGGTATTAAGATTTTCCTGCTCTGCATTGTGGACATAGACACAGCCAACATCCCTTTATAAAACACCTCCCTCCAGACCACAAGTTACATACACGTGCGGGTACTCAGAAAGATCTGGCTAAATAGAAACGAGGGACAGATTCTGTCCTCAAGTCCAACATTCCCATTCCACTCAAGATGTCCCATGTAGGTAAGAGAAAAGTCAATGCTGGAGGGAAGAACTTGGGCAGTTGTTATCCAAAATTCCTTATACAGGACATGAGTTGTAGGCTGGGAAGGATTCACATTAACCGTCTCTTCTGTGTAGAAGGAAGCCCCACCCTGACCTAGTCCTTCCTCCTCTTGCTTTTTCTTCCTTTTCCTTCTCCTAATCCACAGGACTCCCCTTGCACTGTCTTCCAGCCTCTGCACCTCCCCTGCTGACAAAGAAGTCTGATCCCTGACACTGTGAGGCCCACTGACCGGTGTCATCAGCATTCCCTGAGAGCTGGTTAGACATACAAATCCTCAGGTCCCACCCAGACCCTGAATCACAATCTGCATTTTAACAAGATCCCAGGTGATTCCTACGCACATCTGTTACAGCTTCACTCTAGACCAGATGGGGAGCAAGTAAGTTTCAGCTGACAAACCAACTCCAGTAACTGGTGTAACTGACTGGAGCCATGAACAGCTCAGTGCAAGCCTGTAAGGGACACCTTCCATGAGCCCAGAATGAAGTGTGGCATTCATATTTTGTATTCATACAAAAACCTCTTAGTGTTTCCTTCTCTAAGCAGCACTTGTCCCTGGGCCCCTCCTAAGCTAGGCAGTGTGACCCTTAGACTCAGGCAAATGGAGCCTGTACCTGAGACCTTGCCCATCAGAGGTGCCCACTTCCTGGAGTGCCTTCTTCAAAGTGCTCTGAGTCCCTTTCTGGGGCCTGGGACAGGGCAGGGCCAGAAGTTTAACTTTGTTAGGTGCCCCCTGCCTGGACCTGGTCCTGTGTTAGGTCCTGGTCACAGGAGCACCTACCTTCAACATTTCCTAAGTGCTGCCCTGGTGGTGGCAAGCCAACCGCGGCAGAGCCATGCGGGCAGGGCACGCCGAGCCCAGCCAGACCTGCATGGGCCCTGATTCCCACGTCTCCCCTTCCAGTCAACAAGATACCCTGAGCAGCTCTAGGATTGATGCCTATGGGATTGTCCCAGGTCCTGTGGCCAGACTCTAGTCCCAGAAAAGACTCCTGGCAAGCACAGTACTTCCTTCATAGAATTGCATGAGACTGGGCGGCCAGAATGGTGTTGATGTGCTGATTTAAGTGATGGGCATACACAAGGGCAGGAATCTGGGCCACTGGAAATCTATCACTGACCCCTGGGCTTGAACAACATACATGGGCCCAGGTGTTGGCGCTTTCTCAACTCCCAACTGCAGTGTCACCTCCAGTTTATAGCACAAAAGGGCAGTGATGTGGCAACACCCATCTGTTGGCCTCCACACTAGCACCCAAAGGGGTCACTCCACTCCTTCCACAGGCTCATATGCGTCTGGAAGTTCTCCAGGGTAGTCTCCTCCTGGGGCTCAGTAACTTCAGCAAGCACTTCCAGTCCACGTCCTCTCTTGCCTCCATTGACGGAGCAACATCAGCTGCCTCGGATCAGTCTCAAGCCAGGCTAGACGAGGACAGAGGGTGAGCACCCCTCGCCTGGACGGGATGCTCTTCTCACTTGCCCTCAGGCCTCCTGCTAGCCTTCCTGCAGGAGGTGGTGTGTGGAAGGCAGGGGCGTTGCCAACTCTGAGATTCCATTCTTGGACTAAAGTGATTCCAGCGTCAAGACTTCAAAATTATACATGGTTGGAGAAATGGACAACTGAACAGGAATAAAAACCTAATGACCGTTCACATTGCTTGCATTTGTGGTCGTCACCAGTGAAGCTCAGTGAGAACTTTGGGGGCAATTAGAAGCCAGTACTCCTGGGCAGAAGGATGGATGACACAGCATCATGAGTGATGATACAGTCAGGATTCTATGTTATCAGGGAACTTCGAAGATAAGCAGATCTACAACATCTCAAAACAAACAGGCTGGAAAGAGCCCTCAGGGGGAGACATGACATTAGACAGAAATGGCACGTGACAAAGACTTAAAGAATCTTCATGCTTATGAACAGAAACTAAATGTGCCACACTCTTATCAACATCCTTTTTAGCTGGATGTGCTCACCCCTTTCGTTTTCTATGTTCTGCTGGCCTTATTGCCCATAGTTTAGGTTTGTCTCCGTATCTGCAGTGTTGTTCATACCTTTCTGTATAAAATCATTCATCATCTCCTCCAGCCTCTTGCTTGATCATCCTGTTTCCCATGTTTCCACTTCTCTAGCAGCAGCTGGGGAGGACCAAAAAGGGATGTGCAAACACTGTCTACCAGAAACACCTCCAAAAATCCTCTCTCCCGGCTGTCTGACTGTCCTCAGGACGTCCTCAATTTCAGTCTGTGAGAGTATATGGGGTAATGAGGGGTGGGAGAGGGAAGCACAGAATGACAAATATATTAAAATGCACCCAAATAAATGTATGACAGCTCTCAAATATTTTCCATGGGGAAAAAGTTCATTCACAAACAGTCACAAGTACTTACTGAGAGCCTGCTGTGCTAGACATTGTGGGTGATCAAGTTCAAGACACTCTGCTTTCAGAAGGAGGGCACTTTACCTGGGGCTTGAACAGCAGAAAGGGAAATACATGTGTACACACACACACACACACACACACAGACTCAAAGGAGACAGGTACCACAGTGAACTAGAGGTCGGATTTAAAGAGTCTTCAGCGAGGATGGTTTGGCTGGGTAGGGGGTGGTATTTATTTCTAGAATCAATCAAAAAAATTATTTATATTTTCAATAAATTCATTTTTCTAATCTTGACATAAAAGTAATCCTTTACATGAAATACATTATGATTACTTATCCGCCTCACTGATTAATTATCAAAAGTGATAAAGTAGTCAAATATACTGAATGAAGATTCAGGGCCAGTAACATCATAGAAAAGAAACCTCTGGGCTTTCCATCATTGCCATTACTATCAAGTAATTACAACAATTTCATATGGCATTATTCAGATTTTCTGTTAACATATGAAAGGCTTTCAATTAAATATATAGCTTTGCTGAAATGAAGAAATATTTCCAGTGTAAACAGGATGGAACTGATAAATCAGTGCTTCATTCTCTTCAACATCAGATTCAAAATGATGACCGTTTTTCCGAGCTGCAAGAAAAAAATAATGTGAATTTTTAAAAGATAGGATATGATTTTCAAAAGGCTAAAATGGGAAAATAGCACCTGATAGGAGACATGCCTTACAGAACTTCCCCCAAATAAAGCGGCACCTGCCATAGAGCGGTTACCTGCTGCCCCCGCAGCCATGGCCACCGGCCCCGGATCCCAGGGGGAGCTCACGCCCCGCGCAGCAAACACAAAGTGTCTGCCGCGTATAAGACCTGACGCCAGAGTGTGGGGATGGAAATACAAACAGGGCAAGTTCCTAATGCTCAAGGAGACAAATCTAGTAACCAGAGAATCATGGACAGTAATGTGTTTATAGTCTGTCTTCACTGAGATGCTTCAAGAGTGAAGAGGATATATGGTTCAGACTGACCAACCTTGGAGGGGAGGGGCGGGGGAGGCACGAGACAGACCAGAGAAGTGATGTGCACACTTTAGAGCATACAATACTTAACCGGAATCACTGTCCTAGTTTTATTTGAATGCCTAATAGCTCAATTTCAGGGCTTTCACATGATTGTCTTAAAAGTTAAAAACAGAGCATTTACACAGCAAGAGTATATAAAAGTTCAGATGAGGCCATTTCCTTCAAAATTACACTAATAGAGTGATACAATTGTATACCCACATATTACCTTCAGAAACAAAGAACTCTGCTAAATAAAATGCAGTCTTCACAGCGTTAGGTACATGGGAAATGCCCTTTAACATCTTCCACTCATAAGGAGATTTCTCTGGATGCCACTGGACACCATATATTGGATACTTGTGTCCTGCATAAAGAACGCAAAGTAGTAAGTATTAAGCAGTAAGGATGTCTACACAATGCTACTTATAATTAATTATGTTTTATGGCCTGGCCGGTGTGGCCTAGTGGTTGAGCGTTGACCGATGCACCAAGAGGTCGCCGGTTCCATTCCCGGCCAGGGCACATGCCCAGGTTGTGGGCCCGATCCCCAGTGGGGAGCATGCGGGAGGCGGCCAGTCGATGTTCTCTCTCATCGATGTTTCCATCTTTCTCTATCCCTCTCCTTTCCTCTCTCTCTAAAAATCAACACAGAAAAAATATTTTTTCAAAAAAATTGTTTTATGTCCTATATAAAACCTACTTTCACTATGTCAAAGTAAAATGTGCGCATTCTCAGACACAAAATAAAGAATTTCAGTTCAGTCACAATACAGCAATTCACTGATTTTCAACCTGTTACAATTTGTAATATAATTCTCTTTGCTAGATAATCAGAGCAAAATAGTTGAGCCTCTGGATATATCTGCGTTCAACAGTCAAGGGCATGTTTGATGAGTGACAACTCTTCCATGATGGGTCTCTTCTCCCCACTTCATACCGGATTCTCGTTCCCTCCCATAATGACTTATTCCTCTGGGAATGAGCCAGGCCAGCATTCCTGTGTCCTGTACGTAAGCCAAGCCTCTTGGCTCAGCCTGCACTGAGTCTTCCTCTAACGGTGGAACAGTCCGTGACTTCATGTGCCAATTTTTAATAGTTTCTGAAAGTTTAAATGTGGTGTGAAAGATATGTGGTAATATGGTTCAATTCTTTTTAGAATTCTTACTTCAAAATATAATCTAGTATGGGGGGAGCAGATGTGAGGCAAGAATGGTCACACAAGTGTTGACTGTCGTTTGAACTTTGACAGGTGCCTGGGGGGTTCGTTATATTACTGGCTCTACTTTTATATGTTTTAAATTTTCCATAATTTTTTAAAAATACGAATATGAATAATATTTACTTTCTGAAAATGTATATACTCGTCTCTTTTCTTCTTCACATATTCCTTTCCTCATTATAACTGGGGGAAAATCGCCTATTACTTTTGCTTTGGAACAAATCATAGCTATGGCTACCATGGAAAAGTATTTGGAGCACGAAGAGAATTCGCTGAAAGTAGAGGAAAAGCACTGTCCTCTCACATCCCGCGATTTCTGCTACTGGAGACCCTGTCCCAAGAAGGAAACACATTTCATCCTTCCTGCTTGGGGTCCCCAGGAGAAAGCAACCGACCCGCAGGCAGCTCTGGTCACTCTATCCTACCCTCTGCCCATCTCCCTATCTCCTTGTGATTTCGCACTTTCTCTCTGGCCCACGACCAGATGTGACGCTACCAGCAGGAGACCCACAGGCTAGACGATTAGAAAACCAACTGTTACACTTAGTTAACTGGAAGATCATCTAATAACATACTTCTTTGATATATAAAAAAGAATTACTTAGAATACAAAATGCCTTCAATGATAAATGGTAACAAAAATTTATCAGATAGACAAATGGGTCGATGAATGCCTATAGATATACACTGACATTCGGAAACAAAGCAAGATTCACTCTTCTTTAGGAAACTGCATTATTAAAAGATCAATGTAGGTTCCTGACAACTGTAGGAATCATGCCCTACCTCACTACTTTAGAACAAAAGTGTGAAGAATGAAAAGAAAATATGCAAATAATAGAGCATCTCCAGTGTTTCTATCCAACAGGCGTCAGAACATTTTTCAGATGATAAAATTTCCAAATGAGCTCGGTTTGATTATGTAGCCAGGAGTAGAACCAACATGAACCCTGATTCCCTAACTTGTAGCGCAATACTCTTTCATTTACATAATCAGCCATTCACTGAACATCCACTGAGGTTTATACAAAGTCCTGGAAATACAAATAATAATAGGACACAGTCCAAGCTCTCAGTGAGCTTTTAGTCTCAGGACAAAGATAGAACATGAGCAAATAAATGCAAAAACAGGCATTCCTAGGTAACACACAGAAAGTAGAAAGGAGAGGTAGTGAAAATATGGAGAAGGAGCCCAGCTGGTGTGGCTCAGTGGTTGAGCACTGACCCATGCATCAAGAGGTCACAGGTTCAATTTCTGGTCAAGGTACATGCCCAGGTTGTGGGCCCAGTCCCCAGTGGGGGACATGAAGGAGGCGGCCAATCAATGTTCTCTCTCATTGATGTTTCTCTCTCTCTCCCCCTGTCCCTTTCTCTCTCTCTAAAAATCAATAAAGAAAAAAATTAAAAGAAAATGTAGAAAGGGGGAATAATGAGTAGGAGAGGCCTCCAGGAGATAAACCTGATCTAAGTCTTCAAAGACAGCTAAGAAGGGAGTGGAGAGGAAGGGAAGCTTTTCAGAGAAGACAGACCATAAGGAAAAGCACAGGGGCAAGAGAAGCTGCCGTGTGGAGGGCGCTGTGTGCTGTACTGGGTGCACAGGAATACAGGCTGGCATGCAGGCAGGCGGGGTCCTGGAGTGAGGCCCTGGCAAATCTAGACTTTATCCCCCAAGAGCTGAGGAGCTGCTGCTGATGTCCCTCAAGCAATCATCAATTGGCACTTCAGACGGATCTGCAGCGGCTGGCTGAAAGGCGGATTTGGGGAACAGTAGGCGGCCACTGCGAATCCAGGTGGAAGGTGGTCAGTGCTGGGTTGGACTCGGTAGGCTGGACAAAGAGGAGGTCACATATCCAAAAAGGCTTTGGGAAGTGAAAGGTGACATGAATTTTCTAGATGTGGGGAATGAGGGCAGAAAGACAGCTCCCAGGTTTCTAACTTTGAACTGGTGAATGGCAATGCTATTGATTGAAGTAAAAAATATAGGAGAGGAAACAGGGTTGAAGAGGAGATAAGGTCAAAGGCTAAATCTACTTCAGACTGGGTTGACCAACCTTTCCCACTGTTCCCCAGATATTGTTTCTAAATCCCCAGGTATTGTTTCTAAATCCTCACACAAGCAAGCCAATGATATGGCCAATCTTTGAACAACCCAAGCTACTTCCACTTCACTCCAAGTTACTCCACCTCAGTACCCCAGCCACTCAGGTAGCACTAACAGCCTCACCAACTCAAAGGCTGCCTGCCTATTGTTTCTGCATATTCTCATTCATGGTGTGTTGCTTCCTTATGCACTTGTGATTTTCTGGCTCTGAATTGTTCATTATCCTTATCTCATAATATGAAAATTCCTTAAAGTCTGAGAAAAATGTAAGTTCCTCCGAAGAGAATTATTTATTATATCTGCTTCTGCCATGCAGTTGGGGAAGGGGGGCCACTATCAATCTAAGACAGCTTTAAACAAAACTTCTGAGTTGAGATTTCTCAAACATCCCAGTCAGTGCAATGCAGGCCACACTCGAGCCTGTCATTATAAATGCTCAAGGCTTGTTTACCACCCATGCCCTCGGTGCCAGGATTCAAGATGGGCAAGGCTCCCTGCAGTTCTGCAGGCAGGACTGGTTGAGGGTGTAGCCTTCAGGTCCTGCTCCATGGGGTCATCTCCATGTAGGGGGTCCTGAGCCGTGTCTCAATTCTACTTCTTTAATAACAATGCTGGTTTAAATACTCCACTCAGCAGGTTTCTATGGTGGGGTGGTTATCGGGCTGGCCTAATACACAAGGGGTGCTCGGTTCAAAGTCAAGCAGAGACCTTTGGTGCTTCCAGGTGGCCCCGTCTAAATATTCCACTCAACTCTTGGCCTGAGTGTCCTTATTTTCTTGCCACTTCACCAATGTATTTAGGAAGATGTTTTTCTGTGTCAGTCACATCTTTTGTTGTCTGGAGGAGACTCTGTCAAGATACTTAATCCATAATACTGCTGGGTGAAAAAGGTGAAGGGATTAAGCGAATAGAATAGAATAGAATAGAATAGAATAGAATAGAATAGAATAGAATAGAATAGAATAGAATACTCATAGACATAGACAACAGTATGGTGATTACCAGAGGGGAAGCGGGGGTAGAAAAGGGTCAAGGGGGATAAATGGTGATGGCAGGAGACTTGACTTGGGGTGGTGAACACACAATACAAGATACAGATGATGTATTATAGAATTGTACACCTGAAACCTGTATCATTTTATTAACCAATGTCACCTCAATAAATTCAATATAAAAAAACTTTTTAAAGAAAGAAAAGCCACTTTCTCTATTTATTTCTTCATCATTCTCTTTTCTTCCCTTCTTCAATCCATCCCCCTCGCCACCTCGCAACTACTAGAAGATAACCCGGGCAAACCACAACTGCTTTGGAATGTGGACAAAACACAATTGCTGTCCCCAAAAGTGCTCCAATTTCCATCTTCAGGCCCCAAAGCTAACATGATTTTATTCATTAAAAAACTATAAAGTCAAAGTTAACAAATATAAACACATGTGAAAAATTGTACATGTAGAGTGACATACCTTCCATTGTTGAAACAAACTCAACCTTGCCATCATTATTTGTAGTTAATATACTGAAAAACGCCTTTAATTTTTCATTCATCATAAAATCCTGAAGTAAAAAAAATATAACAAAATAATTAATCCTATAATTAATGGAAAGGCGTTGATTTTGTTGCGTAATAGATGTCATACCGTCTTGGAGAGGCTCCACCTGTGGAAATTTGCAGTCAGGGGCTCTACTGCTAAGGACAGCAACAAGTCAGCAGGAAAATTCCGGAACATTCTGCTCTGCAATATATCTGAAATAATTTAAGTACAAGGGAAATAATTTAAACACAGAAGAAAAAAAAAAACCACTGAAGTAATCTCCAGTCAAAGACAGGCCATTATTAAGACATGATCAAGATGACTAAGCAAGAAAACATGGTTTCCATGGAAGCCTCCAGTCAGTGATAAAATGAATGTAACATACAAATCCAAATATGCTCCAAATTTAAGCACTTTTCTTCTAGAACTTTAACATGAATAACTAAAATTCTTCTGATATGGCAAAAGGCAAGCTAGCCAGAGAGTAAGCAAGAGAATCTTGAATTTTCTAGATAGCACTGAAAAACAGGTAAAATTTTCTACATGTGTATATTTGTTTTCCCAGGAATAGATCCAGAACTTACAACATATTTTCAAAGGTATCTGGGACATAAAAGGTTAAAAATACCAACAATGTATAAAAGAACATCAACCAGGCCAAGAAATTCAGTAAAAAGATTAAAAAAAAAAAAAAAGTAATACACCTCACTGAAGGTTCCGGAGTCTGACACATAAACTCAAATACCAGCGACAGGATAAGAAATGCCTGGTGGTGTCCGAGGCCCTGGGGCCAGTTGTGCCTGAACGATACCTCTCGTTCAAGATGCTAATGGCCCTCAGAATCACCCCAGCACCCCAGATAATGCAAGTTCCTTACTTCAGTGGAATTCATTCCCTTTCTGTTTCAACTGGGACTTTACCACATACAACCAAAACTAACTGACCTAATACACATACTTCCCACAGGGTTCTCACGATTATTTAAGTGAGACAGACAAAGTGAGGAAGAGTTGTTCTGTGGTGGTTTTTTTTTTGGTACGTGCCCCTAGCGGGAACCGAACCCGGGACTCTGTGGTCCGCAGGCCAACGCTCCAACCGCTGAGCCAAACCGGCCAGGGCGTGAAGAAGAGTTTTGAAAAGTACAGAGCATTCTATGGGTTCCATGTACAACCACTACTGCTTTCCACTAACCCCAAATGCTTATGAGAATAGAACAGCTGGTAGCATTCAATTCTGAGGATTCCGAGACCAAGTAACCTACAAGAACCATTATCTATTTACAACATGGTATAATAAAGAAGTTGGTTTCTTGAGTTACTGACAGGGAGCTTCTATAACCCTTGGCATTGTCTGAGTGATAGCAGTGTGTGTCATGCTAATGAGGTGACTCACAGTAGGCCCCGGAGAGCCTCAGACTGAGGCTGGTCATCAGAAAGACTAACCCCGGGATTAGAATAGGTGAGGGCTCCGAGCCAGGGATAGGAGGGGGACCAGAGACTGAGATCAATCCCACAGCCAACGATTTAATCAATCACACCTCGGCAATAAAACACCAGTAACAACTCTGGACCGCGAAGCTCACTGGAGCGCCCGGGTTGCTGGCATGCTGACAGCAGGGGGTGGTGTGCCTGCCTCAGCAGAGAGAGGGGCTGGAAGCTCTGCATCCTCTCCCACACCCCAGCCTTTCTAATGAAACCGTGACTGTAAACACAGCTCTTCCCGGAGCTCTGTGAATCATTCTACTGCATTACAGAACCTAAGGGGGCTCTGTAGGAACCCGAATCCCCACATTGGTGGCCAGTTGGTCAGAAGTGTGGGTGGGTGGTCTGGGGACATGAACTGAGGCCCATGTCTGAAACAAGCGCAGTCTAGTTGTGGAGCTGCCCTTTCGCTGGGGAGTGGACACAAACCCCAGGTAGTCAGTGCCAGGGCTGAACTGCAGTACACCCCAGCTGGGGTAAACAAGTGCACAGCCCAGGGATAAGTGTTGTTCTATAATAACAATAGCTAAGAGTTATGACAGTTGTGTGTAAAGTGCTTAGCACAGCCCTGGCGGGTTTGGCTCAGCGGCTGGAGCGTCAGCCTGCGGACCAGAGAGTCCTGGGTTCGGTTCCCACCACGGACACGTACAAAAATAAATAAATAAATAAATACATAAATAGAATAGAGTGCTTAGCACAGTACCTGGGAAACATAATCTTATTTAATCCTCACAAACAACTCTAAGAGGTAAACTTTTCTTACAAACCATGAAGTTAAGAGAGGTTAAATGATTCCCCTAGGCAAGAGTAACAAAGCTAGTACTCAAAACCAGGTCCAATTTTAGAGTTCTTATTCATGCATGGTCCTGACAGATCTAGAAGCAATGAGTTATCAAAATTCAAAATTCCGTTAAGCCACCTCCGAATTTGAGTACAAATGTGATCATTCACATTTTCAACCTGTGTAAATAATTTAAAAATTAATAAATATTATGAGCACTTTTTACTTGATATTTGCTACTTACTAATCCTGCCCAGTTAATAGTTTTTAAAGGGTCAAAAAGAGAATTCTTACCTTCAGTGAAGTTCAGCGGCATTGCAATTCCAACAGTGTTTGTGGGAGTTAATAAGTACTCTCCACTAATCAGATACGAAAGCTCTTCAAATCCAAGGCATGTGCCCCACACAGGAAAATAGTCTCCACCATCAAAACTCTTTGAAAGAGAAAACTAAGCTTATTCAAACTTTTCAAAACAAAAAGTATACATTTGGTTTGTCATTTCAAGGCAGGAACCATGGATTTCTGAAGAATTTTCCAGGTTCCAAAAGTAATCTATCACTTAATCCCCAAGCTCCCACATAGTAATTCTGTTTTAATCAACTGAACTATGCAACCTCTGTTGTGCTGGAAAAGAGACTGGCATCCGTCAGTCAACTACCAAATAATATAAGTACCAATCAGCGGCTATAAATATCAAAGACAATCTTAGATAAAAACGCCTATTTTTACATGTTCTATAACTCTTGTCGCTTGGGTAACTGTCTGGTTTTGAACACACTCCTCCATTTTCTCAGAATTCATACTAATTGCTGCATTATACCAGCTTCAGCTAATTAGATTTAAATTAGGTGAAATCCATGATCTAGAAGGAAAGGAACAGTCAGTAAGGAAAAGGCTAAGCAAAAGTAAAAAGATTTTCATAGAGTAAAAGTTATCAACTAAAAAAGTGCAAATGTACTGGGTTTCTTCAAAGAAGTCACAACTAGCATGACTGGGGGAAGCATTCTAAGGGACTGAATTTTCTGGTTAACTGAACATTAAAACCATATGCACTGACATATGAGTTTTGAACTTTTCCAAAAATAGCAATTTTCCTCCATAGACTATAAAATATAATCTAATGATAACTCACTTTAAATGAAAAAATTTGGATTTTTAAAAATTTTTTTAATCCTCACCCAAGGATATATTTTTATTAACTTTTTTAGAGAGAGAGGAAAGGTGGGGAGAGAGAGAGAAACATCGATGTGAGAAACATTCATCAGTGGCCTCCTATATGCACCTTGACCGGAATTGAACCTGAAACAGGTATGTGCCCTGGGACCAAGAACCGAACCCGCAAAATTTTGGAGTACAGGACAATGCTCCAGCTAACTGAGCCACCTGGCCAAGGCTGGGTTTTTTTCCTGTTCCTCACTGAAAAAAAAAAAATGAAGAATTACATTAATTCCTATACTTTCTATCCCAAGGTAGAATTTATAACATTTCATCTGCAGGTCTGGCAAATTTTGTTTTTACAAGTTAAACTTATATACGTTAAGTTGAAGGGTCCTACTGCATTCATGTATACTAAACACAGAAGAGGGTTTCACTGTCCTCTGTTTCCGTGTGTACCAAACATAACTTCTCAACTAAATGCTGAGTCCCGCCGGCTGGAACCACAGCTGTCATCTGCTTGGTCCTCTGCACAGCGGGCGGAAGGGGGCCCGGGGGGGAAGAGTGCAGCCAACAGACCACCCGCGTCCCAGGGCTTTGGGAGGGCGTGGTGGTTCCCAGCGTCCAGAGCTAAACAGGAAGTGCAAGGTGGCAAAGCTGTTTCCTTCGTTTTGAAATCTTCAAGTAGCTGATCTCATTTTCTAAAAAATAGATTGCTGGGTCTTACGGGTTATGTGGCTCATTTTTATTTTTTTAATTGAACAATCTGTTTACATGAGTCTCTAGATGGAAAAGGAAGAATGACTAATTTATAATGTTCATTTATATTTCTCAAATACATTTTAAATCATATAAAATTTCAATTTTGCCCACTCGTATTTATTTTTTTTAATCCTGATCACATGGAGCCATATAATATGAAATGAGGAGCACCTCAAAGGGTGTCAGAACCATAAAATCTGATGAGACACGAACAGCTAACTTCAAGATACTCTGTCCTCAGAACAATAAGCCCCTGAAGGTCATGGACCCTGTTCCAGTACACAGTTGGAGCCAAACAAATGTCTGAACCACTCCACAACAAAATACTCTGAAGTGAAGAGGGAGTGGGCTTCCCCTGCTGCTGCAGGCGCAGAGCGACCTCTAGAGACCAGCGCTTAGCATGGAGGGGCGGCGGACGCTGAAGTCGGGATGCAGTAGAAAGCAGCAGACTAACCAGGTTTCAAAGGAGGACAAAGAGTATGTGCTGGAAATACCAACCTGGCTTCAGTTACCTGCAGAAGAAAAGGCTGGGAAAGGTGGGCTGTGGACACACTATATGCTTCACCCAAGGGCCATAAAAGACTACAGGTAATCTAGCCTAGCCATTAAAAGTTTTCAAACAGCCCTGGCCGGTTTGGCTCAGCGGTTAGAGCGTCGGCCCGCAGTCCAGAGAGACCGGGTTTGGTTTCCGCTAAGGGCATGTGCCTCAGTTGCAGTTTGTCCCCGGCCCTGGCTGGGTCGTGTGGGTGGCAACCACTCCATGTGTCCCTTTCATGTCGATGTTTCTCTCTCTCTCTCTCCCTCCCACTCTATCTGAACAATATATCCAAAAAAGAAAAAAAATGTCCTCGGGTGAGGATAAAAAAAAAAAGTTTTCAAACAAGTGTTTCATATGCTAAATGCAGTTTTTTAGGGAGAAATTTAAGGGGGAGGGGGAAGCTACTAGGGTGCAGCATTATAATTAGAAAATTACTACTGTTAATAGATCAGGGGAAGAATAGTAAGGGTCTGAGTTATGGTGCAAAGGCGGACCCAAGGTGAGACATTACAAAGGAGCAAGAGGCTCTGCTTGGAAACTGAACATGAAGTTAAGGTAACTGTGAAGAGACATCAACTAGGCTGGAATGAGTTGGACAAAGAGCAGCTTTCAAGAGGAGATGAGAATTCGTAACATATGAACAATACAAAGTATATAATAAAAACAGCTTACTAAGCCACCATGAGGACCTGGTTCACATTAGTGAGCACAGAGAGGGCCAGTCAGCATGGCTCTGAGGTCCCCTGGAGCCCAAAATTAAATGAAATAGAAAATGAGAGGTGGCCGCCACTGGCTGCTTGTCAACAGGCACCTCGCACGGTAAAGGGGTGATGAGGCTAGGATAACTGCGAAGGACGCACCCCCATGGGCTTGAGAAGGAAGTATCCCCATGGAAAATTACAAACCCATCTGGAATAAGAAATAACTGAGATTTACCTGTTTGGCAAAGCTGTAAAACCTTTTGGCCGTGTGGGCATAGCCTGACTTCCTGAGGTTAACGCTTCCCCCGGGGAAAAGGACCCTGAAACAACATCCAAGGGTGCATTTCAACCCCTCCCCACACACCACCAATCTTTTTATTTCAGACAACTTTTTCCTTATTACATAAGCAGCAAGATTATTACAGAAAATGAGAAAACTAAAGCGAAAAAAAATACAAACTATTTACAATTCTACCCATTTGTACATTATTGCAGTTAAGAATATTTTTGTGGATAGTCTTCCAAAAGTTCTTTGATAAACAACTGTATTCTGCATACAGATAACTTAAAGGTAACAAATAGGGTAGGGGAAGAGCACACAGAGTTAGAAATCAAGTAGGGATAAAATTCCAAGTACAGGTAGATTTAAATTAAAGTGATCGGTAATGATAAAATCAATTGAAGGTCCTTTAATTAATTATGAGAGAGTTTTGGCTCACAAAGAATTTTTTTTTTAACCATAAAGAACACACTGATCACAAAAATATATGTGGGCTAAAATTAAATATCCATGAGAATTTAATTCTTTATTATCACCCTAAAATCTCTTCAGAATTAAGCATGGGATTAGAAGATTTTGAAAAAAAAAACACAATCACACTTCCAGAAGTCTAGAGGAAAAAAGTGAGGAAGTAACAAACATTTGATTTTATTTTTCTCTCTACCCATAAAAGTGATATATAGAAAAATATTTACTATGTTTTTATATCAGTTTTTTAAACTAACTCTAAATTTTAAACATTATAACAGGTCTTAAAATAAGTAAGGATAGTCCAAAGAGATTATAAAAGTTAGATTAAATGTATTAACATTTTGAAAAAAAATTAAATATGAATTCGAGATATGTAAAATAATGTGTTTGAGATTTTTGTTCATTCAACAACTATATTCTGCTTCTTGCATGAGCCAGGCTGCGTAGTAGCCTGTAAAGCCAAAGATGAGTAAGTTTTGCTGCTAGAAGATCATATAGTCCAGTAGAAAACATAACCTATGAGGTGGAACACCTGGCACAAAACCATGCAGAAAGTGCTACATTAAAAGTGGATTAATGAAGACTCATTAGCAGTCCTCCCTTTTCATTGACTCAGGACTTAAAAAGCTGCCTCTGATCAAATGTGGTATGTTTAAGCCCAAAATTTTTCATAAAGTAAAACCTGACTACCCTCCCCGCTGACAAACTCCTTCCCAGCCAGGCTCTGCCTTTCCCTCTCTGTGCACCCCTACAGTGGAGTGGGGTCTACTGCGTCCCATGGCCAGTAAAGGTGCCTCTGAAGTCACCCGGAGTACTGCTCATTTCCTGGTGCACGTGTTGAGGTTCTATCACACATTCCAGCCTGGACTAACTTATCTTCGTCCGTGCCGAAGGACACTGCACATAAGGGGCATTTTAAATGTTTTACTAAATTGAAATAATTTTATAGTAAATATTGACTGAACCAAATAGAACTGAAGACTGAAAGCAAGTTTTCAACACAGCCTTTTACAAAAAATTGTAATAAATGAACACAGCCTTAAAAGTTTTTTTTTCAAAAGCTCTTTTATAAAAGCTTTACAGTAAAAAAGACCCCCTCCATCCACTCCCAATCAGAAACAACCATCGATAAAATCCGTTGTGTTGACCGAACAGATCTCTGTTACACCTATTTCCTCACCCCGCCTTAAGAACCAAAGTCACTGGGAGTATACACACACCAGTAAGTGCCCTGCTATGTTCATATAACCACATCACACTGTTCACATGACAACAGTGGTCCAAAGCAGCATCTACAGATACCCTCATTTTCAACCTGTCATAACATCTTATCATATGCAAATAGTCTCCTTTATTTATCCAATTCCCAACTGATGGACTAATGGGTGGCTTTGAAATTGAGAGTATTTTCAACAATACAATAATGCATATGTTTGGATCCAACTCTTCACATGTTGAGGGGGGGTTATAGTTATAAAATAAAATTCATTACAAAGAATTTCCTGGCTCAAAGAGTATGTGCATTTTTTATTTCAATAGATATTACAAACTGCCCCCCAAAAATGACTATATAACTTACACATTCATAGGTAAAGTATGAGAATACGTGTTTCTTCACACCCTCACCATACAACATGAACAAATTTTCTGATCTTCACCAACTTGATAGTTTTAAAAAATGGTTTTTAATTGCTATAATCAGCTTTCTTTTAATTATGAATAATGTTGAACACTTTTTCATATTATTAGCATTATTTTTCCTGTAAGATAACTAATCCTGTATTTTGTGGTGATGCCAGAGAATAGATCATTTTTTCCAAGTTCTATTCAAATTACCTTCTGAAAGAGACCGATTAATATCCTCAGGCTTAAGACTTACAAATCCCCAAGCAAGCAGGACGCCATGACATTCAAAGTGGCTTCAAAATATTTAAGACAGGCATTAAAAAAACAAAGACTATGTCACACATTAAAAAGTGATGTATGTCTCCTGTGTAATACTAATTTCTTAACCATTCTTCTCTGTAGGACTTTTGCATCTCTCTCTACACAACATAATTCCTCTAGAAAAACTCAGAAAACTGAAGTACACCACGGGAAGGCAGTTACACAGAAACACATGGAATATTTATATGTACTTCTTTGCAAGAGCAGACTACAGAGACCTCACGACGGTATCAAGCCAGTGCTGCCAACTTACCCATTAATAGACTGGAAAAGCTTGACAAATTCTTCCTTTGTAAGATTAAGCCTGAAAACAAGAAAAACAGTGACAAAACAGCCATATACCAAACCTAAGTAAACAGCAGGCTCTAAATGAAGTCAGATGAAAAAAAGCCAGATGAAAAATAATTCTTAAATACTAGAAAATATTACCATATCTTTACAAACTGCATGAAAGCCACATAATTATATCCTTGTTTTGCTAATCAGACAAGTAAATATGTCTGTTTTTCTGTGGTCTAATATAATTTGATATTGTGAAGTCTGTGTTCGTATGCAAAATACTAAAGACTAGGAGATTTGGGGATACAGAGAACAAACTGATGGTTACCAGATGGGAGGGGGTTGGGGGCTGGGTGAAAAAGGTGAAGATGTACAAATTACCATACATAAAAACAGTCACAGGGATGTAAAGTACAGCATAGGGAATATAGTCAATAATATCGTAATAACTATGTATGGTGTCAGATGAGTATTAAATAGACTTTACGGGGATCACTTCATAAGTTATACAAATGCCTAATCACTATGTTGTACAGTTGTCCCTTGCCACTTCGCACTTTGACTGTCGTGGCTTCACTCTATCGCGGTTTTTTCAAATACGTACACAGAGTGAAGCCGCGACAGTCAAAGCGCGAAGTGGCGAGGGACGACTGTATAAATAAAGAATCCTACTTCGCAGAAATTCATTTATCACGGTAGAGTCTGGAACTGATTAACCATGATAAACGAGGGCCGACTGTACACCTGAAACTAATATAACATTGAATATGTCAACAGTAATGAAAAAATGGAAAGATTATTTTGTAAAAATGAGATTTAAGCCGTCTGGTGTGGCTCGGTGGATTGACCACCGTCCCGTGGACTGGGAGGTCCTGCTTGGATTCCCGGTCAGGGCACATGTCCAGGTTGCAGGCGCAATCCCCAGTGGGGGCTGTGCAGGAGGCAGCCAACTGATGTTTCTCTCTCACATCGATGTTTCTTTCTCTCTCTCTAAAAAAAAAAAAATCAGCCCTGGCCAGTTTGGCTCAATGGTGGAGTGTCGGCCCACAGACCAAAGAATCGTGGGTCCAATTCTCGCCAGGGGCGCGTGTCTCGGTTGTGGTTCGTCCCTGGCCCTGGTCCCGTCGTGCAGGAGGCGACCAGTCGATGTGTCTCTCTCACATCGATGTTTCTCTCTCTCTCTCCCCCTCCCACTCTATCTGTAGATAATGGAAAAATACTGAGTGAGGATTAAAAAAAATTTCTTTTAAAGCAATACAAAGATTTTTTAATGAGATTTAAGCACTGGTAATTTCTCTGCTAGCCTATCTATGATTTTATGTAAAGCCTAAATACAGATTTATTAACATGCCTCTCTTAACTACAGGCAGCTTTGGCAGATAAAAACAATACACAGAAAAGCCTCGACCCTGCCTCATCCCACCCCCACCACCAACTACAAAGGTCTGGAGACTACTATGTATTCAACAGTCTGAGAGAGGAGATCTAGAGAGGACTTCACGCAGTCCACTGCCCAATGGCCCGACCTGCCCAGGTGATTATTCTGAGGCACCTGCGTCATACACCCTGCGAAGGCCCCCTAACAATCACTGTGCTACTGATGGTTGTAGCCCCTTCTCCAGAGAAGACGGATGGGATTAAACTGTGACAGTTGACTACAACTTTTAATTAAGTCACAGTGAGGAAGTTCAACAGAACACAAGAACAAGGGAAGAAAGCATCCTGCTCACGAAGCCCTTCCATCTAGCAGCCTTATGGCTCTGTAGGAGAATAACAAGGCACAATGCCCTCTCGACCTGCCACAAAAGAAGTAGGCTGACGATCAACTAAGTCCATCTCTGCCCCCGGGAAAGGTTTTGGAGGGAGCTGGAACACCTCTGCCGTTATTAAGTAGACACCTCTGATGAACTTGGCTGTGCTAGGCCGGCAAGCCCCTCCAGGCTCTCCTCTAAGTCCAAATGGGCTTTGCAAGCCCAGGTCTGGTCAGAAGTTGTAATAACCCTTCTGACAGAGAGCCACAAAGCAGTGAGGGGCACTGCAGTGGTGCTTACCCCTCTTACACAGATGATTAATGGGCAGGTGACCCTGACTTGGGAAGTGACAGGCAGATGAAATGTGAGTTTACCCATTCCCCGTATTTTGCCAGTTCCATCTGCCCAAATTGTGCCAACAAAAAGGGAAACTATTCAGAACCCAGAATCTTCCCCAAGGATACTTAAACCAGGACGGGCAGCCACCACCATCAGGAAACAATGCATTCAGACCACTTACCTACACCCCAAGGACTCCTGACAGCTAGCCATGCAGGCTAGTCAGTCATCTCATTAATTCTAAATAAATGGTTCTCACATTGTCCACGACTGAATTTGTGACCCCTGCTCATCACCATTAAGGGCCATAGTTGTTGAATGTTGGGGCAGAAGGGTACCACAAAATGAAGTGCCTCAGAGACTCACCAGGGAAAACAGACCAGGTCAGATGCTTTGAATGCAAACGTTATTTGCATGTTGTCAAACTTTCTTGAAGCAAAAAAAAACCTCTCAAAAGGGGTAAGAAAAATAGTACACTCTCCCTTTAACTAAAAAAAATATAGTTTAAGCCTGGCAATGACAAATGACAGCATTAAAAGGAGCGAGAGGCACTGTGACCACTGGAGAGCACTTGCTCCAGTTCAGATCAGCTCCAAGTAACTTTCTTCAAAAAAAAAAAAAGGGTCAGAAATTAAGACTTTAATGAAGTCTTCTGATTCGTAAATGTTTAAAGTGTTTTTAAAATGCTGTGTGAACAAACACATTTTAAAACCAAAAGCAGCCCACGGAGCACCATGAGCTACCTCTCAGGGGGCAGCTCTGTGGGTCTCACTAGTCCACAGTGGGAATTTGTGGTAACCTGAGAACACTGACACCTGAAAGGGAAGATAGTAGAAAGAAGGCCGAAGGAGACCAAAGACAAACCCCCAGAATTTTGCCTACATCTCCCACCCTCCTCCTTTTCTCTTCTAAACTGCAGAAGTTGGCTCCCAGTGTCCAAAATGCAGGAATGAACTCAACATTATCAGGGCAATCCTGTCTCATTCTGCGTTACGTAATCCTTTGCAGATTACTCTAGGAAATTAGCTGCCGTGTATGGTATTACATTGTTTTTATAGGATCGTATGATTCTAATTCCAAGCAATTTATTTAAAAAGAACTTCGGGAACTCAAGCAGAAATTAACCTCTATGCTGACAGTCACATGTTCGGTGTCTTTGTCACACATGCCAGTACTTAGTAAGTCAACAATTTCAAAACTTCCCCAGTTTCAAAACTTCCGTCTTTCTCATCGAATGCCCTTTTAGTCCATTAGTCATCAAGTCGTGTTGATTCCTTTTTTTCTTTTATTTATTTATTTATTTATTTATTTTGGTACGTGCCCCTAGCAGGAACCAAACCCAGGACTCTCTGGTCCGCAGGCTGACGCTCCAATCGCTGAGCCAAACCAGCCAGGGCTCTTTTTTCCCTTTTTAAATGTCTTTATTGTTGAACGTAATACAGATGCCTCCACTTTTTTCCCCATTGACTGCCTCCTCCCCACTCCTACCCCCCTCCTGCCTTCCCCACACTATTGTCTGTGTCCATTGGTTATGCATATATGCATAGAAGTTATTTTTTTGTTTTTTTGGTGGGGGGTTCGTGCCCCTACAGGAACCGAACGCGGGACTCTCTGGTCCACAGACTGATGCTCCAACAGCTGAGCCAAACTGGCCAGGGCTGCACAGAAGTTTTTTGATTTATCTCTTCCCACCCTCCCTGCCCCCTTCCCTTTGAGGTTCATCAGTCTAACAACCAATTTGTACGTCTTAATTCCTTCCCTTTTTTCACCCATCTCCCCAGCCCCCTCCCATCTGGCAACCAACAGAAAGTTCTGTTATCTATGAGTCTGTTTCTGTTCTGCTTGCTCATTTTGTTGGTGGATTCAATTGTTGATAGATATGTATCAGTGGCCATTTTACTGTTCATATTTATGTTCTTTTTCTCCTTCAAGAAGACCCTTCAACATTTCATATAATAACGGTTTGGTGGTGATGAACTCCTTTAGCTTTTTCTTGTCTGGAAAACTCTTGATATGTCCATCGATTCTAAATAATAGCTTTGCAGAACAGAGTAATCTTGGTTGTAGATTGTTGCTTTTCATCATCTTGAATATCTCTTGCCACTCCTTTCTGGCCTGCAAAGTTTCTTTTGAGAAATCAGCTGACAGTCTGAAGGAGCTCCTTTGTAGGTAACGAACTGCTTTTCTCTTGCTGCTATTAAGATCTTCTCTTTGTCTTTAACCTTTGGCATTATGATGATGTGCCTTGGTGTGGACCTCTTTGGGTTCATCTTGTTTGGGACTCTCTGTGCTTCCTGGACTTGTATGTCTGTTTCCTTTACCAAGTTAGGGAAGTTTTCTGCCATTATTTTTTCAAATAGGTTTTCAATTTCCTGCTCTCTCTCTTCTACTTCTGGCACCCCTATGATCAGAATGTTGATACACTTGAAATTGTCCCAGAGGCTCCTTACACTATCCTCATTTTTTTGGATTCTTTGTTCTCATTGAGTGTTTTTTGTTTCCTTATATTCCAAATCAGTGGTTTGCTTCTTAGCTTCCCCCACTCTACTACTGATTCCCTGCAAATTATTCTTTATTTCAGTTAGTGCATCCTTCATTTTTTTTTTTTTTTTATCCTCACCCGAGGATATTTTTCCAATTTTTGTACAGATAGAGTGGGAGGGAGAGAGAGGAAGAGAGAGAGAGAGAGAGAGAAACATCGACGTGAAAGGGACACATCGAGTGGCTGCCACCCGCACGACCAACCAGGGCCGGGGACAAACTGCAACCGAGGTACGCGCCCTTAGCGGGAACCGAACCCGGGTCTCTCCGGACCGCAGGCCGACGCTCTAACCGCTGAGCCAAACCGGCCAGGGCCATCCTTCATTTTTGACTGGTCCTTTTTTAGACTCTTGAAGTTCTAACCAGGTTCCTTGACATTCTCACTAAGTTTCTTGAAATTCTAAGTTCATTGAGCATCCTTATAACCAGTGTTTTGAACTCTGCACTGTTAGACTGCTTATCTCTGTTTTATTTACTTCTTTTCCTGGAATTGTTTTGTTCTTTCATTTGGAACATGTTTCCTTGTCTCCTCATTTTGGCTGCCTCCCTGTGTTTGTTTCTATGTATTAGGTAGATTGCTATGTCTCCTAGGCTTTGTAGGGTGACCTACTGTTGTAGGTATCCTGTAGGGTCCAGTGGCACAGCCTCCCTGGTCACCTCAGCTGGACCCTCAAGGTGCACCCATCATGTGGACTGTCCAGCCTTCTGTTGTAATTGAGTCTTTATTGCTGCTGGCATGTCAATGGGATTTACTCAGGCTGATCAGCTGCAAGGACTGGCTGTGCCCACTGATCACTGACCTCTGACTACCTTGGATGATCACCTATGCAGGGGCCCACCACACAGAGCAAGACTTACTTCAGCAGGTCTCTGGTACCCACTGAATCCACTCCTTGAGTGTGTCACTTGTGGAAGTGGTTGGGTGGTGGTGCTTCATCGTGGTCTGAAGCTGTTCACTGGGTGTGCTGGCTCTGGGACAAAGTCAGTCTCTGCCTGTGTTCTACCTGGGACCACCAGGCATAACCTATAAAGCAATCTACAGATGGCTGCTTCTTGTGCTGGTCTTAGAGGTGCCCAGGAAAAGCTGAGCTGCGGACCAAGGCTGGTTGCTTCTAGTGCCAGGCCTGGGCCCAGTTTGCTAGAGGTGTGGGGCTCACTAAGACCAGATGCTGCTTGTTTCAGAAAATTTAGGAAAATCTGAAGCAGAAGCCAAGACAGGCCAATCCTATGGTAAAGCCACTAGAAACTGCTTGGGTGGGCCTGAACGTTGGGTGGGGCAGGGCTTCAGGGAGTCATCACAGTGAGGCAAACAATGTGAGCCAGGTTGCTGGACTCCCAGATATGGCGGCCGTCTGCCACCCCAGGGAACGGCTCACCTAGGGAACAGGCTCACCAGCCTGTCTGCACTTCCGCCCCTCCTACCAGTCGCCATGTGACTGCTTCTTTAATTTCATAGCTGTAGGACTTTCATACAGCTCAATTTCAGGTGGCTATGAATGATGGTTTTCCTGTAGTTTAGTTGTAATTTTGATGTTAGTGGAAGAAGGCAAGTACCGCATTTACCTACACCATCATCTTGACTGGAAATCCCTCTTGACTTTTTTAAAATAACATTTACCTATCAATCCTACAACCACTGCTGTAAGCCAAGCCCTCACCACTTCACAGTCAGCCTACTGCAAGTCTCAGAAATGGTACACCTGCCTCTCTTTCCCACTTCCCATCCGTGCTGTCAGCACTGACGTCCTAAAAGAATGGCTTGCAGAAAATGTTTCTGTGATCAAAACTTTGAAAGGTTGTTCTGAAGACTTCCTGGAGTCTCTTCCTCAGCTCTAAAACTGTATCTGGTTTCCAAGTGAGACTTCATTTGAAAAATTAGATCTGCTACTAAAGAATTAAAGACTAATATCAAAAGCAAATGTTCACCTTGGGGTAGAGACAGCTAAATGTAAGAGGACAAACAAGAAGACAATTCTTACGAAGCTAAACATAAAAAACATAGAATCACTTTGTGGTGTAATTCTCCAAATTATAATATTTGCATTCTAATTAATGTTCCATTTGAACAGTATTTTTGGTTATAGTTTTTTAATGCATAATTACTTACACAGCAGGTTGCCCAGAGCAAAACAGCTATATTTTGTGTGTGAAAACCCTTATAATGAGTTAGACTGTGGTGCTGGAAGCTTCCAAATAATAATTTTGGATGATAAGATATTAAGAACACTTTCCAAATTCAACTCTTTCCAAATCACCGTAAGGCATGAATCATTTTATTCTTACTAGGCCATTACATCACAAAACCAATGCAGCTCTTTTAAAACTGCAATACCTGCAGTTGATACTGAAGCAACACTGCTATATCAGTTACTTACAAATTTTTAAAGTACAGTGTGAAGGTATTTCAAAAGCCATCTTCTAAAATCTCCTTTATTCCCTAAATGCACCCTTATCCTAATATTATAGAATAAAGCTAAGTTAAAGATTCTTTTACTCCATTACTTTTATGATGTCTAATGAGGACCACCTTTTTGGGGGTAAAAAAACTATCATTGCCCTGGCTAGGTTTGCTCAGTGGTTAGAGCATCAGCCAGTGGACCAAAGAGTCACAGGGTCGATTCCAGTCCAGGGCACGTACCTCGGTTGTGGTTGTCCTCAGCCCTGGTCAGGGTTGTGCAGGAGGCAACCAGTCAATGTGTCTCTCTCTCTTCCTCTCTCTCTTCCTCTCTTTCCCTCTTCCTCTCTCTCTCTCTCCCTCCCTCCCACTCTATCTGAACAAAAATGGAAAAATATCCTCAGGTGAGGATTCAAAAAAAACAAACTATCATTGCATTCTTTATTTAACACATATGACATACCTCTAACGATGTTAGAAATAAACAAAACTTCATATTTTAAACAATTTAGTGAGAGACTTTAAGCATCACATCTGTGGCAAAAATCAGGTGCAATGATGTAATCAAAAGAGAAGGCATTAATTTTACGGATAAAAGCTAATTTTAAAGGTAAAACAGCTGTTTTTATTTATACAGTGTAAAAACTATTAAATCATACCTTACTGGTACAACTCTTGCACCTGCAGACTCCAGAAACTTTACATAGGATGCAGCAATATAGTATTTGCCCAGGTTTTTCATTTCCTTAGTACGGCACTTTTGCATTAATATTCCTAAATCACAAAACAATTAAAAGTTTTAGTTCCAAGCAATTTCCTTTTTTTCCTACTCAGAAACTGAAACACAGTACAGTACAAATATCACTACAATGGTTCCCCCTTGTCAAAGGTTTAACTTTGTGAGGTTTTGGCTAACCGTGGTCACCCGCAACCTAAAAATATTAAATGGAAAATTCTAGAAATAAACAATTCATAAGTTTTATGTTGCACACCATTCTAAGAAGCATGATGAAACCTCAAGCAGTCCGACTCCACCCCACCCCAGATATGAATCCCTCCCTGTGTTCAGCATCCCCATACTGTAGCTGCTCTGGACATCGTGTCACTTAGCAACTGCTCTGGTTAGCACATCGACTGTCCAGTACCACAGTTCAGTAACACTTATTTTACCTAATGATGGCCCCAAAGTGCAAGAACAGGGCTGGCGATTCGAACATGGCAACGAGAAGTTGTGAAGTGCTTCCTTAAGTGAAAAGGTGAGTGGAGTACAATAAGCTAATTGGAGAGAGAGACAACACATTCACCTAATTTTTATCACAGCACACAGTTGATTCTTCAACATAGGTTTGAACTGCATGGATCCACTTATGCACAGATTCATTCCAATAAATATATGCTTGGCCCTCTGTATCCCTCCATTTGCCAATTCAACCAGCCACAGATCAAAAACAGCATTTTCAATTTGGGGTTGGGAATCCGAAGATGCAGAGGGCAGACTTAAGTTATACGTAAATTTTCGACTGCACAGGTCAACTGTATTGTTATACCTATTCTATTTTATTATTAGTTATTGTTGCTCATCTCTTCCTGAGCCTAATTTATAAATTAAAATTTTTCACGGGTATATATGTATAGGAAAAAACAGTGTATTTAGGGTTTGGTACTACCCAGTTTCAGGTATCCACTGGGGGTCTTGGAAGGTACCCCCCACATATACAGATGGACTACTGTACTTGACTCATTTAATTCACAGAATTCATATGAAGCTTCTCCTGTAGGCACACCCACGGGCTTTAGAAAAGGAGTGAAGGCTGGTGTGAGTGTTTGCATCCTCCTCTCTCTGCCCTCAACAGGGAGGCCACACGCGCCCCCAGCAGGTTCACAATGGCACCAGCTCCTCCACACAGCCTCAGATCTACAGCAGGTCACACAGTACATACAGAGCCTTACGTCTAGAAGGAGGCTTCTCTCTTCCCACACACACTCAAAGACACGTTGTTCCCTTGACAACAAAGCAAGAGTGGAAATATATTCTATTCACATGTCTCCAACATCAGCAAAACTCTCTCAATCCAAGCAAATGACATCTTACCTTCCCCCAGACTATTGTAATAGCCTCTTAAAAGGTCTCTCGACTTCCAGTCAAGATGGCAGCGTAGGTAAATACGGTATCACCTCTGCCCACAGCCACACCAAAATTATAACTAAACTACAGTACAACCATCCTTCAGAACCGCCTGACACCTGAATGGAGGTCCTAAAACTATGAAATTAAAGCAGCCGCCACATGGAGACTGGTAGGAGGGGTGGAGGTGTGGATGGGCTGGCCCCACATCCACATGTGGCAGATAAAACTCAGGGGGATACCTCGGCCGGGAAGGTCCTCCCTGAGGAGCAAGTAGTCCCTGTCCCACACCAGGCCCCCAGCTCAGGGTTCCAGTGCCAGGAAGAGAAGCCCCCATAACTTCTGGCTGGAAAAACCAGGAACTGAGGTTGAGGCAGGCTGAGGCCTCTGGAGCACCAGGCAGCTCCTCTTAAAGGGCCCACACACGGACTTACTCAGATTTGCTCTCTCTGAGTTCAGAGGAGAGGCAGCTTGAAAGGCACCAGAGACATACAGGGAAGAATTGAGCTGTTTAGCCTTGGGACAAGGGCTGGAGAGGCAGTTTTCTCTCAGACAGACTGCTGGCGGAGGCCCTTGCTCCTTGTTCCTTCCCTGGGGCGGCAGACTGTTGCCATATCTGGGACTCCAGCAACCTGGCTCATACTGTTTGCCACACCCTGGTGATTCCCTGAGACCCTGCCTCACCCAACTTTCGGGCCCACCCAAGCTATTTCCAAAGGCTTTACCGTAGGATTGGCCTGTCGAGGATCCTGCTTCAGAGTTTCCTAAAATCTCTCAAACAAGCAGCATCTGGTCTCAATGAACCCCATACCTCTCGTTAAGTGGCCCCAGGCCTGGCACTAGAAGCAGCCAGCCTTGGATCAAAACCTGGCTTTTCCTGGGCAGCTCCAAGCCAGCACAAGAAGCAGCCATCTGCAGATTACTTTGTAGCTTGAGCCGCGTGGCCCTGGAGAGAACACAGGCAGTGGCTGACCTTGCCCCAGAGCCAGCACACCCAGTGGACAGCTTCAGACCACATTGAAGCACCACTACCCAACCACCTCCACAAGTGACACACTCAATGAGTGGACTCAGTGGGTACTAGGGCCCTGCTGAAGTAAGTCTTGTTCTGTGTGGTGGGCCCCTACACAGCTGATCCTCCAAGGTAGTCAGAGGCCAGTGGTCAGTGGGCACAGCCAGTCCTTGCAGCTCATCAGCCTGAGTAAATCCCTCCCATTGACATGCCAACAGCAATCAAGACTCAATTACAACAGAAGGCTGGACAGTCCACACCAGGGGCGCACCTCGAGGGCCAAGCTGGGGTTATCAGGGAGGCTGTGCCACTGGATCCTACAGGACATCTACAACAATAAGTCACCCTATAAAGCCTAGGAGATATAACAACTCTACCTAATACATAGAAACAAACACAGGGAAGCAGCCAAAATGAGAAGAAAAAGAAACATGTCCCAAATGAAAGAAAAGAACAAAACTCCAAGAAAAGAACTAAAAATGGAGATAACTATCAATCAGATGCAGAGTTCAAAACAATGACTGTAAGGATGCTCAAGGGACTAGTGAGACCTTCAAGGAACTTAAAGAGAACTCCAAGGAAATTAGTGAGAACATGAACAACATAAAAAAAAAAAAAAAAAAAAAAAAAAAAACAGTCTGAAATGAAGGATTCACTAACTGAAATAAAGAATAATTTACAGGGAACCAATAGTACAATAGGTAAAGCCAAGAAGCAAACCATCGATTTGGAATATAAGGAAGCAAAAAACATCCAATCAGAACATCAAAAAGAAAAAAGAATCCCAAAAAATGAGGATAGTGTAAGGAGTCTCTGGGACAATCTCAAGCCTGCCAACATTTGCATCATGGGGGTGCCAGAAAAAGAGAGAGAGCAAGAAACTGAAAACCTATTTGAAAGAATAATGACAGAAAAATTCCCTAACTTGGTAAAGGAAACAGATATACAAGTCCAGGAAGCACAGAGAGTCCCAAACAAGATGAACCCAAAGAGGTCCACACCAAGGCACAGCATTATCAAAATGACAAAGGTTAAAGACAAAGAGAAAATCTTAAAAGCAGCAAGAGAAAAGCAGTTCATTACCTACAAAGGAGCTCCTTCAGACTGTCAGCTGATTTCTCAAAAGAAACTTTGCAGGCCAGAAAGGAGTGGCAAGAGATATTCAAGGTGATGAAAAGCAAGGACCTACAACCAAGATTACTCTATCTTGCAAAGCTATTATTTACAATCGATGGACATATCAAGAGTTTTCCAGACAAGAAAAAGCTAAAGGAGTTCATCACCACCAAACCGTTATTATATGAAATGTTGAAGGGTCTTCTTGAAGGAGAAAAAGAACATAAATATGAACAGTAAAATGGCCATTGATACATATCTATCAACAATTGAATCCACAAACAAAATGAACAAGCAGAACAGAAACAGACTCATAGATACAGAGAACTTTCTGTTGCTTGCCAGATGGGTGGAGGCTGGGAGGATGGGTGAAAAAGATGAAGGAATTAAGATGTACAAATTGGTTATTAGACTGGTGAACCTCAAAAGGAAGGGGGGAGAGAAGGCAGGATGAGATAAACCAAAGAACTTCTATGCATATATGCATAACCGATGAGAACTGACAATAGTGTGGGGAAGGCAGGAGGGGGGCGGGATGGGAGATGAAGGGGTCAGTGGGGAAAAAAAGGAGGACATCTGTAATACATTCAACAATGAAGATAAGTTAAAAAATAATAATAATAAAAGTCCTCTTAAAGCCAAAAAAAGATCTCTCTACATCCTTTCTTAAACAACCCCCATTATCTCCAACCAATCCCCCACATGGAAAGAAACCTGATCATATCACCACTCATTCACTCATTCATTCATTCATTCTTTCACCTAATATATATTACTAAATCATACTATATACCAGGCACTGAACTAGGTGCTGGGGACATGTAAGTGAATAAAACAAATAAAAATCACTGCCCTGTGGGTTTTAATTCTAGTGTATGGGAGAAAAGACAAAAATAAATAAGATAAAAAAGTAAAATACATAGTGTTTGGCTGGTGGTAAGTGCTAACGAGAAAAGAAAAGCAGAGGAAGGTATGTATTTGGGGTAGGGAATGTCCCATCTACGGGGGGGGGAAGAGAGCCTCTTAAATATGTGTGCCAGGCAAGTCCTCCCTGATAAGGTAGAACATGACATTTGATCTAGGATTTCAGAGAGGTAAAGGAGCATATGCAGATATCTGGAGGAAGAGATATCCAGGGTGAGGGAACAGCAAAATATGAAGGCTCTGAGTCAGGTGTATGCCTGTCACACTATAAGGAGTCCATATGACCACAGCCCTGTGTAAGCAAGGAGAGAAAACAATAGAAAATGAAATCAGATAACAAATCAACAGGGCGTACCTTCTTGCTTAAGCACTTCAATGGGTACCTAAACTTTCATAAACATTACAAGACCCTGTGTGCTCTGCCCCACCTACCTTCCTGGCTGCCTCATACAACTGAAACCTCAGCCTCAGCATAGTACTGGCTCACATCAAAACATGTCTATCCAGAGAGCACACCTGTGCCCATATCAATCGCTACTCCACCATTTGAAACACTTTCATTGTCCCTGCAGGCCACATGAGACATCACTTCTATATTCCCAGCTTCTTACAACTATCATTTTATCAGGCACTCAATTAACATATACCAAATGCCTAAGCTTGTTCAGTAAGACTGTTTTTCTCCCCATGGACAGGTAAGATCATCTTGACTGAGAAAAATGAAATTTGGTAGAGAAAGAATTAGAGAGTGTCATAGGAAATGGAGTGGTACAGGCAAGCAAGGGTGAGGTGCCACAAAGGAGGCTTCGGACATGTGAACACAGGTACCAGAAAGGAGAAAAACACATACATGAGAAAGGGCAGGTAAGTTCCACAAACTTATCTCCCTCCCCTTGTCCCACACATACTTACTTTCCCATCTTGGAAAAAGAGCTCAGGCTATACTCCCAGGCCCTCAAAATGTGACCAAAATGTCACCTATGTTCTAAAGCCATCTCACAACTTTTATGGTTTCCTTGTCTTTGAATCCTTTGTACTTACTTCCTAACTTGAAGCTTTGCACGTAGTAGGTGTCCAGGTAACTAATATGTCTTAACTGATCAGGGTGCCCAAAAGCATATTCACTTTTTCTATATTTGACCCTGAACTACCACTGTTTCTAGAAAAAGGAAAAGAATCCCCCTCCTCTTCCCTTTTTTCCTCCTCCCTGGACCCACAATTCCCAACCCACTACACAGAATCATATTTTGAGTTAATTCTCCTTGGAGAATCTAACCTCTATTTTAAATAGTTATAAAATAAGACATTCCCATTTCCAAATACTGATTGATACACAACCCATTTGAAAATTGGGCAATACCAATTTAAATTTAAAAAATGCTCATC